CTTAATTCCTAGAAATGGAATTATTAGTTGAATTCAGGGTCAACTTGTCTTCACTTTTAGATAAATAGATTCTTATTTTGTTGCCTTCCCAAAAGTTTATACGAGTCTGGCTTTCACCAGAATTGTGTCCTGGCATCAGACAGCGACCTCATTTTTTTAAAGTTTTTTTTTGGGGGGGGGAAAAGGCAGATTTACAGAAAAGAAGGATATTACAGAAAGAAAGATCTACATCTGCTGGTTCATTCCCCAAATAGGGACTATGACCAGAGCAGAACCAATCTGAAGCCAAGAGCAAGGAGCCTCCTACCTGCTATGTGGGTAGAAGTTCCAGGGCTTTGAGCTATCCTCCCGCTGCTTTCCCAGGTGCAGGCAGGGAGTGGGATCAGAAACGGAGCAGCCAGAACAGGAACCAGCACCCATATGGCATGCCAGTACTTGCAGACAGAGGATCAGCCAGCTGAGCAATCATACCATTCCTCTGTCACCTAATTCTAATACATAGTTTTCTCGTATTTTCTCTTTATTTTACAAGTTGACAGGTGACAGTTTATTAGATTATTGAGTTTTTGTTACATTTTTTTTAGTTGTGAGTGAGGTTGAACTTCTTTGAACATTTTTGTTGGACATTTATATAACCATCTATTCACACCCCCTATCATCTTTACTATTTTAGTGTTGGTCCTTTTGAATTGTAAGAGTTTTTTAGCTTTCAAAGGCACTCAGGTTTTTGGTTTGGTTTGGTTTCTTTGTTTTGGTAAATTTGTAGTGTTTTTTAAAATGAATTTTTAAATCATTTGTATAATTATTTTACATTAAGATGTGACATAAGGATGAAGCTTACCTTACTCAGTGGCACTTACCTCTCTTCTTTCTTGCCCATCTTGTCAAGCCAAGACTAAGCTGATCCATGCTTGATTTACTATCAGTATTCTCATGTGATAAGCCTGAGATAACCATCAGAGAAAACAAGTGCTTTGAATGTTTGTTTTGTTCTTTGCAGTTGAAATTCTTTACCCCATTTCTGAGTAGAATCCTGGGCTACCATGTTTGGCTGAGTTGTTTAGTGTCCTTACTGAGTTTTGTGATATTGCTACTTTGTGTCTGATCAGATTTTAGAATTTAATCATGTGATTTCATTTAAATTTGGAACTTCAGTATTTTGATTTCTTTACCCCAGAGGTTACCCGTGAGATAACAACATTATGGTAATATCTCTTTTTCAAAGATAGAATGGACTTAAGATTTGTTAGGTTTTTTTTTTAAGATTTATTTTATTTTTATTGGAAAGGCAGATATACAGAGATTAGAGACAGAGAGGAAGATCTTCCATCCGATAGTTTACTCCCCAGGTGGCCGCAACGGCTGGAGCTGAGCCAATCCGAAGCCAGGAGCCTCTTCCTGGTCTCCCACGCGGGTGTAGGGTCCCAAAGCCCTAGGCCATCCTCAACTGCTTTCCCAGGCCACAGGCAAGGAGCTGGATGGGAAGCGGGGCTGCCGGGATTAGAACCAGCGTCCATATGGGATCCCGGGCGTGCAAGGCGAGGACCTTAACCAGTGGGCCACCGTGCTGGGCCCAGTTAGATTTAATCGAACTTTTTTATCATTTAAATTTTTTATGCAATGTATTGTTTTAGTGTGGAGTTCTTAAAGGAGGAATATTTTCAAGATACATTTACTTGTTTGACAGGCAGAGTTAGAGAGAGCAAGCTTTCATCTGCTGATTTACTCCCCATGTGGCCATAAAGATTGGTGCCAGACAGGCTGAAACTATGAGCCAGAAACATCGTCAGAGTCTCCCAGGGCTTGGACCATCTTCTGCTGCTTTCCCAGGCACATTAGCAGGGAGCTCGATAAGGAGTAGAAGGGACTTGAACTGGCACCTGTATGAGATGATTGTATTGGATACAGTGGCTTAATTAGCTGTGCCACAACCAACCTTAATTAGAGACATTTTAAGAGATAACTAGGAACACTGAGCTGTTGAGAGAAATCCTACCTAAATCTCACATCACATAGTTTTTTGGAGGTTTTGTAATAATAACTTTTTGTATAGTGACAGATTCCTTTCAGTGCCATAGCATTGCTTCCCTAAGCAGATTTTTCAGAAGTCTAAAAATAGCTTTTTGAGGTTGATACTTTCTCATTGTGTTAGTAATCTATGTATTTTGTGCATCTGAAATGATACTTTTGTGTTAAAAGACTATATTTAGCTTTTAAAATTTACAACTAGACTGTGAGCATTCTCATAGCCTGTCTGATAATTCCAACGAGAGAGTACGTTAAGACAGTGAAGTGCTAGAGATGCTGAATCCTGGTCTTTTTCTCAAAACAACTGCTTTGTATATAGTGTTTCATGTGAATTTATACTGGAACATCTGTAAATTTAACAGTAACATTTATTTGAGCCCCCATATTTTTCACAGTGCAGTGAATTAGAATTTACATCCTGAAACAGACATGTTAGCCTGTCTCTGATGTGTTCTGCTTTGTTGGCATTATGAATAAAATATGCTGCCTAACAAGAAGATACCCTTTCTACTTCAAATGAGACCTAACTGCAAAGTACAGTGGAATTACTGGTATTAATATGAACATAATATCTGTTCTTTAACCTAATTTTGTACACTTTTGCATTAGTTGCATCTAAGTTTTGATTCCTTTGGAGTTCTGTAGATTTATACATACCACTTAATCTCTGGATGAATAATTTATGTATGATGTTGATTTTCCCTGATACGTTTTTTTTTGTAATTATTACTTAGATTTTAATTATAGGGCTTTTTGTTTATCTCTGTTAAATTTTATGTTAGGGTTTAGTCTATCATTTCAGCTTGTTGGAGCCTTTCAGTTTCTGGTTCAGTCTTTCATTTTAAGTCGTTTTTCCCTAGGTTTATGTCATTCTTAGATGACTTTTGAAATCAGATTGTAAACTATCTGTGGTGCCTTGAACTTGGCTAACACTTTTTTTAATTGAAATGTTTTAGTTAAGTCTTTATCAGAGTTATCAAACCTAACCTGTTACAACATTATACCATTCAGCTATTCCTTCATATTTATTGCTTAGCTGTTGAAGACAGTAGCTTTTGTAACCCCTAATACATAAGTCACACATGGGAAGGACAGAGCTTAAGTCATAAAACTCAAGTTTGTTGAGGTTGCTGTTGATCTTCCAATCTCTTTAGTGTTAAGGTGTACTATGATTCTTTAACAAATGAAGCAAATTGTAATTCAGTGCTGTACTACTCCTGGTTATTCATAAATACATCATGATTATCTGTCAGATTAAGGAATTAGTAATTTAGTAACTTTCTTGGATGAAAGCTTTGCCATTTGTACTTATAACCTTTATAATACCTGAAAGTCACCATTCCTCTAATGGTACTTACACATCTTGACTATCCAGAATCCCTAAGGAGCAGAAGTGTTCTGGAGTTTATTTTTTTCCCAGATTTTGGAATATTTTCATGTGCATACTGATATTTTGGGACTAGAACACAAGTGTAGATACAGAATTTATGTAGGCCTCATATTACCTGTTCAGAAAGCGTATCAGTAATGGTACGTACTAGTTTTAGTGTTCATTGTTGCCACTGGGATCTGTCACATGAGGTCAGGTATGAAATTTGCCATTAGTGAAAACATGTTAGCACGTTGTGGGTTTCCTGTTAGTCACTTGGGTACAGATACAGACTGGGCAGAAGACAGATTTAACTAGTTGTAGACAAACCCCATGTTTTTACTATGTGTATGTTGTGTTGTGCTTTGTTTTGTTCTGTTTTACTTTACATGCTGTTAGGTATCTGTCACAACTTTTTAGCTCTGACATTGTAGCCCCAAACGAGCCATAGACAATACTGGGCATATCTGTGCTCTAGTACATCTTTATTCATTAAAATAGGTAGTAGGCCATTGCCATTGTTTTATGTCCACTGTGTTACAGAGAGACAGTAATGACAGACTGTGGAATTCAGTTGCCTATGGATGGAGATACAGTGGAAAAGGGAGCAGAGTCAGTGACACAATGTCTCAGTGGTTTCCTGAACTCTGTTGGGTACATTGACCAGACATCTTGATTATAGATTTCCCACTGCCTGAAAAACTCCTTTCATACTCAGTTTAGAAGTCTAAGTCTCTTTTAGACTTGAGTTCCTCTGTAGTTGCTACTGATATTTAGAAAATGCTCAATAAATGCTGAACATTGAAATTCTCCAGTTGGTAAATAAGCTAATTTAAAATGGGGACATTATGGAAGTTTGTTTACTAGCAGTTTTCCCACACAGCAACTATTAGCACATAGTGACTTGTGACCTTGGTTTACTTCACTGATACTGTTCAGGGTAAGGCTAGTGCTCTGTGCCTCTTTCCTACTTGACAATAATTTTTTTTTCTTCACTGATCTTGGATTGGTATCTATATGTTATTTGAACTTAAAAGCTATAATAAACTTGTGAGTGTGGTAACCTCATAGCCTTATAAGTTATTCTCATAAATTATTATGTAAATGCTGTATAAGTTATTCCTTATTTAGCTAATTGTGTAAGAGAAGTGATTGTTGTAATAATTATCAACTATCAGATAACCATAAGATCTTTGTGACTATGGGTTGGAGACATTTTGAAGAATATTCTGTTCAGGCTTTCACATTATAGCCTCATGATTATTTGAGTTGCATTTACTGATTAGCAGCAGAGGTAGGGGTCGAAATTCATGTTTCCTATTTCTTAATTTAGTGTTCCTTCTACTACTATGCCACTTTTCTCAGTAGGATATGGGACAGCAATTCTTTGCCTAGAAAATAATCAAGCTTTAGGATAGGTGCTAGCCTCTGAAATCATGGTAATCAAAAGGTGGTTTAAATCTGTTGATATTACTAAGAAGATATGGTATGCTTCATTTTACTGTTGGCCATATTTTGAAATAGCTTGGCATCATTGAAATTGAATACATATTTTCTTTAAGATTGGAATAATTGATTATTTTTTGTTAATAAACTCTTTCAGAAAGATGAGGTCTATCTTAATCTGGTGCTGGACTATGTTCCGGAAACAGTATACAGAGTTGCAAGACACTATAGTCGAGCCAAACAGACGCTCCCTGTCATCTATGTCAAGGTATGTAAAAGAGAACAGTTTTCCACTTTAGAACATTTTTACTGTGAGTGAAGGGTTGTGCCCAGTGAGTTTTAGCAAAATTGCTCTTATTTCACAGGAAGAAAATATCCAAGAAGGTGTTACTAGAGTGCCATTGAAGCTTTCTATAGTTCATGACTCAGATGCTAATGATAGACTCTGATAAACTGCATGACAGTTGTTATGTTCTAAAACTTCACAATAATAAAATGGCCACCAGTGCAGAACATTCATAATAGAAGCTTTTATTTTTTAGGACTTTCAGTAGTTAGAGCATTTTGACGAGTAGTCAAGAACTCATTGAATTCAATCCTGGAAAGTAAAAATTGACCCCAAGTTTTGAGTTTATCATGATTTGGTTAGTGCATACATGTATGATAGTGGGAACTAAAAGATTCCTGGGTGTTTTTTTTTTTTAATTATAAATTTAATATAGTAATTTTGTTAGGATTTTGGGGGCCCGGCGCGGTGGCGCAAGTGGTTAAAGGTTCTCACCTAGCACGCCCGGGATCCCATATGGGCACCGGTTCTAATCCCGGCAGCCCCGCTTCCCTTCCAACTCCCTGCCTGTGGCCTGGGAAAGCAGTCGAGGACGTCCTAAAGCTTTGGGAACCTGCACCCGCGTGGGAGACCCGGAAGAGGCTCCTGGCTTCGGATTGGCATAGTATCGGCCCGTTGTGCTCACTTGGGGAGTGAATCATCGGACGGAAGATCTTCCTCTCTGTCTCTCCTCTCTGTATATCCGCCTTTCCAATGAAAAAATAATAAAAATAAAACTTTAAAAAAAAAAAAGGTTAAAGGATTTTGGACTAGTAGATTTTATTCTAATGATTATCACAGACAGCTTGTTGTTTCATTTGAACTCTTTGCAGAAATCTTGATCTATTTAGAATGATGGTGGTTTGGATCTACCTACCTTCTGGCACTTGCTAGTGCTAAAGAGGGCCATGGAACTTTTATGAATCAGAAGAAACTTTAGAGTTGGTTTCTAAAGGTCAAATTTTGAAGTCTAATGTTGCTACTTAGGTAACTGATTCAAGAAGACAAGTCACTGATTCAGTGTCTACTTAGCATCCATATTTTTCAAGCTGTGAACTTAAATGCTAGTTGAAAACTCATATTTAGAGACAGAGAACCAGGTGCGTTTTTGTGAGCCATCATCACAAAAACATGTGATTCTATTATTTGTTTTAAGCAAATGTTAAAGAGAAAAAAAATAATTCATTGAAATTTAGATGTGATAACTCTGTGTGCAGACTGTATCCTTTGAGGCTCAGTTTTCTCTCCTGTAAAAAATGAAGATAAAATATGCATCTCACAATGTGATTGCAATGATTATATAATCAAAGAGTAGAAAAACACTTGACTCAGCAGTTAATATATGTTAAATAAATCCTACGAGGATACTTCAAAAAGCCAATGTAAAATGAAAGTAAAAACTGTTCATTTTGGAGGAGTGGAAAAATCTGTGCATAGCTCTTCCATAACATATTTTTCTATGAACTTTTTGGAAACCTCTTTTATTCCAAACTGTTTTAAGGAATTTCTCACAATCAGTTTCTTCTTATCCTTACTCGAGTTATTTAATGATTTTATTTCATGCCTCTATTTAATACACCAAAATAAGACAAAATAAATAAAACATAACTAAAAGAAGTTAATTACCAAATACACTACATAATATTACATATGTGATATTGGGCAACTTGCTTAATCTCTCTGTACTTTAGTTATTTTATATTAAAAGGATATTAATACTAGTACTTAACACAGTAAGTTGACTCAATATAAGTATCTCAAGTTGGATAAGTTGTAAAGAAAACAGAGTTGTTTGCACTTACTGTTCTTGTGCCAGGTGGAGGGACATAGTTGGTGCTGTCTTGTTGGCAGAGCTCCAGGTGACGCATGGCATGTCATGTCAAGAGGGAGAGTGTGGGGGCCTGCACAATGGCTCAACCAGCTAATTATCTCTCTTCAAGCACCAGGGTCCCATATGAGCACTGGTTTGTATTCCAGCTGCTCCACCTCCCTTCCAGCTTCCTGAGTGTGGCCTGGGAGAGCAGTGGAGGAAGGCCAAAGGCCTTTGGGACCCTGCACCTGTTTGGGAGACACAAAAGAAGCTCCTGGCTCCTGGTTTCAGATCAGCTCATCTCCAGCTATGGGACCACTGGGGAGTAAACCAACAGTTGAAAGATCTTTCGCTCTGTCTCTCCTCTCAGTAAATCTGCCTTTCCAATAAGAAGAAATAAATCTTTAAAAAAAGAAAAAGAGGGAGAATGTGTGTTGGTCTTTTCCCCTTTTGTTATGCTTTTTTTTTCTTTTTTTTTTTTTTAGTTAGCTAATTTGAAAGGCAGAATAATAGAAAAGCTCTTCCATCCACTGGTTCATTTCCCAAATGACCCCAACTGTCAGGACTGTGCCAGGCCATGTCATTCCATAACCAGGAACCAGAAATTCCACCCTGGTCTCCCACAAAGGTAACACGGCCTCAAAACTGGTCCTGTTTTCTACTGCCTTCCCAGGTGCATTAGTAGGAAGCTGGATCAGAAGCAGAATAGCTGGGACTCAAGCCAACATTCCTATGTGAAATGCCAGCCTCATGAATGGTGGCTTAATGCACTGGGCCACAACACGAGAATCTTCTTATCTAAAGCCACTGGTACTCAAGCCATTAGATTCTGTCCTTACAACAACAGTTAATCACTTCCGAAAAACCTCATGTTTAGATACCGTGTGTAGGTTGAATTTCTACCTTCTTCATACTTCTTAATGAGTATTAAATTTATATATATGAATTTCTGAAAGAATAAATTATGATCAAACCATAAAATCTATGTTTTAAATAACAGCATAGCAAGTTTGTGTAAAATATTAATAAAATAGAAAGTTAGGACAATGTAAAATTTTCTAAATTATTGAAGGATGGTACAATATTACGTATGGTTAATGACACTTTAATGACCAATTCATTAAGAAGTAGCGAATTATTATAGAAATTGCATGAAACATATTAAAGATTAAATGCCAATGATACCCAGCATTTACTTATTCCAAAAGAATGTGCTAACTTATTTATTACTTTAGGATTATAATTCATTTGAAATAGGAAACATTCAGTTAATTTATACTATTTGTTCCAGTTGTATATGTATCAGCTGTTTCGAAGTTTAGCCTATATCCATTCCTTTGGAATCTGCCATCGGGATATTAAACCACAGAACCTCTTGTTGGATCCTGATACAGCTGTTTTGAAACTCTGTGACTTTGGAAGGTAAGCCAGCTCTGTTTCCTTTTCCCCTGTCCTTCTTTCTCCTTCTGTAATTTGTCCTTTTTTGATACTTTTATGACGTCAGTCTAAACACCTTAATAAGGGAGTATTAAACTACCAGGTTCCCTGTGAGGTAATTTTGGTAACATGCCTGAAATACTGTGTCTTCATCAAACAGTGTAACTTCTGCAAATTGCTCCTTTAGAAATACACATTTACAGAATAGTTTATATATAGGAGCTTTATTTTTTTTTTATCATAGGTTGTAAATGTCTGTTAGGAAAATGACCAAATAAATTTCTGTACATACACATATAATGTTACAAGTTCAGCCATTAAATGAATGAATGAATTATTAAGAGCTGAAAGGGAATGATCTCTGTAAAGTATTAAATAAAAAAAGCTAAGTCAAAAGTATGCATGCAGTATGCGTCCTACTACTTTTTAAAAGTACATGGAATATGTACATGTGCATGTATATACATGGATTATTTATGGAATTAAGCATAATTTATAATATTGCTTACTCTTCAGTAGATAAATTTTGATAATATACTGTAGTTGGGAAATTCAGTTTTGCAATGATTATACTTTAATATTTGGATTTATATTTTGTATATGTACTTTGTAAAGAAGTAATTTTTAAATTTTTTAGTGTTTGCATATTATCGATTATCATGTATCTTTTCAACTTAAAAATTCACCTTAATTTTGGTTTACATAAAAAGTCCATTATTATTATTTATTATCTGTAATATGCTATGTATAATTATATTATTTACTATAATAACATGATTATTATCTATTATTTAATTTTTCTTGCAAACCCCAACAAAATTTCTTTCTTAACGTCATTACTTCACTTGATTATATATATATAAGACAGTATTATTTCCATGGCTGTCACTATATTGTACCTCTGTGACCTAACCTTTCAAGCAGTAGGTAGCCACTGCCTAATCTGATGAGTTTACCAATAAGAGTACCTTCCCTAAGAATGACTGCCTGTTGTAAGACTATTAAAGGACTGTGAAACAGCAGACTTGATAGAGATTCTGTTCAGAATAATGTCAAGACCATTGATCTTTCCCTTTCTCCTTTCTGTCACCCTTTCAAACAGATAATTTAGAAAGAAAATATTTCAAAAACATTATAATTTATTGTTTAACAATGTATAGTATAGACTTTTATTTTCACTTTTATAAAAAGAATATATTAAGACATTAGATTATCGAGGTCATAACATCATTTCTAATATTAATTTCAAATTAGAACTGATTTGATGTTCTTCATAGATATAGTTACAGGAATGTCATCAAACTTTTTGAGATAACATATTTCTCACTTACATTATATTCAGAGATTTTATGTTGCAGCAAATGAATAGTCCAAAAAGTAAAAAGTAAATAGGCCCTGGTTTAGCAGAAGAACAGGCAAGGCTATAAACGTAAGTGAAATGAAAACATGACCATTTCATGCGTATACATAAGTAATCCCGGGTTATTAAAGTCTGCTGTGGTGTGTCATTCTGTCCATCTGATGATGGACATATTTATTGATTCTGTATTTTTGGCTATTAGGAACAGTACTATAAGCATGTTAGTGAAGTTATCTTTTTGATACAATGAGTTCATGTCTTTTGTGCATATACCCATTAGTAGTATTTGCTGGATCCTATGGCAAATCTGTTTCTAGCTTTTAAGAAACTGTTCTGTTATCTACTGTGGCTGCCCTAATTTGCACTCCTGCCAGCATTGTAGAAGGCTTCTGTGTTCTTTGCATCCTCACCAGCCAGCATTTTTTTATGGATGGATAATAGCCATCTGATGTTGATGTGGGTTGATGTGATACTTTATTATGGTTTAGATTTGCATTTCCCTGATGGCTAGTGTTGGTGAGCATTTTTCATATTTTTTGGATTGTTTATATACGTGTGTGTGTGTGTGTGTGTGTGTGTGTGTGTGTGTGTGTGTGTGTGTATTTTTTGAGACCTATTGAAGTTCTTTGCTTGTTTCTTAATAACACTGTTGTTCAGCTTTTTAGTTGCCGATATATTCTGGGTGTATCTTTCATTGGATAGGTAGTTCACAGATTTTTTTATATATACTATTGGATATCTGTTGTCTCTTGATTGTTTCTTTTGCTGTGCATGTTGAAGTGACTATTCTTTCTCCAGTGTATGGTCTAGGCACTTTTGTCAAGTCAGATGCCTCTATGTATGTGGATTTTTTCCTGCACTCTATTCTGTCTCACTTATCTATTCAATTCTTAATGCCAGTGCCCTGCTGTTTTAATTAATACAGGTCACTATAGTTCTTAAGTATTTTAGAAAGATAATTTGAGTAAGAGAAATCTAAACTTGCCACAAAAGTTTCATAGGCTTTGAATCATATCTGTAAATCATATGTATGCTCTAACATTGAAGCATTGAAGTAATGAATAGTTAGAGAATTAACAAATTTACTAGAAAGTGGATAAATAAAGTAGTTGAATCTATAAGGCTTGAGATATCCATCTAAGCTAGAATTCATATAGTAAAATAATAACAAATTTATCACCCTTTTAGAAATATGTTGAGTGATGAGTATTCAGTCTTACATGAGCAAATATCAGAAAGTATAAGGAAGATAAAAGGTCAGTGTAGAATGGGCATTTGTTGCAGTGATCAGGTGGATGCAGAGAGTACTTACTTCCAAGCTTATAGTTAGAGCCCCAGCTCCTACATTCCAATCCAACTTGCTTCTGGTATAAATCCTGGGTGACAGCAAAAGATGACTCATGTACTTCAGCTGCTGGTCACAGGAGGAAACCAGGTGTAGTTCTAAGCTCCTGATTTGGCTTGGTCCTTCCCTGACTGTTGCACGCGTTTGGGAAATGAAATGCTAGATGGAAGACCTTTGTCTGCCTTTCAAATAAAATTAAAGTAAATAAATAAAAAATAAAGCCATTTGGGTGCAAAAATTTTTGAAATCTATACTCAGCACTTTAAAAACTTCATGGAAAAATCCATGTGAAAAAAACTGTATGGATTTCAAATTTGGGGGCCAGAATTAGTGTGTATTTTAATTCCATTTTCTCGAGGTACAAGAGATACAAGGTGCAAGACATACCTTTTTCTTTCCTGTGCCTCTGTATATTATGGATATGTAATTCAAGCAATAGAGCAAAAATTTTTCTTTTTTTCTTTAGAGGACAGTTAAAAATGCTTTTTTAATGTAAATTTTTGCAAAGTGTTATAAATTTGGGTAGTGTGGTTTCTTTTTCAAATGTTCTGTAATGAGGTTATGTGAATCTGAAATAAAGTATTTCGTATTATTAATAATAGTAAAAGGTATGTCAAAGTTTCAATTCAAAACTTTTTTTTTTCTTAATTAGTGCAAAGCAGCTGGTCCGAGGAGAACCCAATGTTTCGTATATCTGTTCTCGGTACTATAGGGCACCAGAGTTGATCTTTGGAGCCACTGATTATACCTCTAGTATAGGTGAGTACTGAATTCCTAATATAATGCATGTATATATTAATTACATTTTGATTTTAATAACCTGGTACTATTAATCTGTAATTTCACTTCTATAGAAAGATGAATGTGACATATAATGCATGTTTTCTTTACAATGAGATAGCTAAAAGAGAATGTTTAAAATTTACCTTTAATGAAGGCAGTGTTGATGTGACAGTTAATATGCTGCTTGGGGTGCCTATATCCTGTAACTGGAGTGCCTGAGTTTGAATCACAGCTTCCATAATGCACATACCCTAGAAGGCCACAGATGATGGCTGAGGCAATTACGTGCCTCCCCTTCACTTGAGAGACTTAGATTGAATTTCTGGATCCCAGGTTTATTCTGACCTAGCTTGGCTATTTCAAACATTTGGGGAGTGAACTTGGTGGATGGGAAATTTCTCTCTGTGTTTTTCCCTTTTTCTCTCCATTTTTCTCTCCCTTCACCACTCTATGCCTCCTTTCTTGCCTCCTTTCTTACCTCTCTCCTGTTTAAAAGGTTTTTTTTTTTCTTCACAATTTCACCTTTTAGAAATTAAAATATGCCTACTATCATGAAGCTTCAAATAAATGCTAAGTACATTCTGTTGCTTAACTTTATTTTTTAAATCTTCCTGAATACTTACATCTGAGTAAATATTCACTAGTTGAGAAATTTGTTTAATGTTATTTCATGGGAGTTTTTCAAGGTGACCAAATAATAGTACCTACCATTGGCTTTGTCCTTCACAAAGTGTGAAAACAAAAAATAGTTGTATTTCCAGAGCACAGGCTGCAGTTTGCCTCCATCTTAAGGAAAGAAGTAAGTGTCAGATCCACATCTCCCTTCTAGGCAGAGGCCTTTGCAAATCTCAGATTCCTGGTGTCACGTAGATAATCCACCGCAGTAGCAAAACAGGTTGCTTGGTTTTGAACCCTACTGGATCCAATAGAATGATGGTAAACCTAAGCAAATAGCCTACTTAGTACTCTACATTGCAAGGTACCTGGGGTATAGAACAGCAGGAGATCTTACCTCCTGAACATGAGAAGTAGGGATGCTTACTCCCTCACATTTGGGACCCTCTACCCCAACCTTATTTCTGCCATTGATCACCAGGGACTGCTTAGTCCAGATTGCCATTCAGCAATGCTCCTATAATCCTGCTACCATACCCTTGCTTCTTTAGTGGGACTAAGGAACATGCCCACCACAACCAGTACCATCTCTGACAATAGAAAAGAGTATAAGGAGAATGCACTGTGGGACCCACTAGAATGAAAGCCAAACTAAGGCATCATGTTGTTACTCAAAGGCACATCTTCAGGGAAAACAATGATTTTTTTTACATGAGGGCCACTGCTTAAGTGACAAAAGTGATCCTGCAGATGTGTTAATACCAGCGTAAAGATCTAAGAAACTTCATTGCAGCACAATCAGTAATTGCAAAAACATGGAAGCAACCGAAATGCCCATCAATAGAAGATTGGATAAGAAAGCTTTGGTTCATCTACTCCATGGAATACTACTCAGCTGTTAAAAAAAACAAAATGCAGTTCTTTGTGGCTAAATGGGCACAACTGGAAACTATAATGCTAAGGGAAATGAGTGAATCCCAAAAGATTAGATACCACATGTTCGCCTTGATTTAACCTGTAATTTATTGTTTGGTTGTTTGTTATTTTTTGAACGTGTCATTGATGCTGTCTCAACCCAGATGTTTCGAAGAATGGAACTTGCATTATTTTTAACATATTGTTTACCCAATACTATGTCAATTAATTCCATAATGTTGTATATTGATACTGAGGCCTTGTTGGGGCTTTTAACCGACCGGATCTTTACTCTGTTAGACCTATCTTCAGACCATAGAAGGTCTCCCCAGGAGGCCACTGAACTTATCTGGACAATAAGACGCTGAACTTTATGCTAGGCATGTGTTTGCAAGCAATGAATCTCAACTGAACTTGAACTATGGTTATGCAGCAAGGTGGAGGAATCCACCATGGGGGGAGGGGTATGGGGAGGGGTGGGGGGAATCCCCAGCGCCTATAAAACTGTACTACACAATACAGTGTAAGCAACAATAAAAAAAAAAAAAAAAAAAAAAGAGTACCTCTCCAGAGTAATGCTTTAGGAACAAACTCCTAAGCAAATAGGTTGATGAAATGTTTGATAAAGAATTGTAAAAGATATTCAAAGAATTATAAAAGAATATAAGGATGGACAGATTCACAAAATCAGGAAACCAATGCATGACACGATATTATTAAAACATTTGGCAGATACAGAGATACTAAAAAGGAACTAAACCTTGGAAATATGTAAGTAAAATGAATAAAAAATATGGAAGTTTCAACAATATATTAAATATTAGATCAAGCAAGTGAAAAAAAAAATCTGAACTTGGAATGTGTAGTATAGTGTAATATGTTAAGCTGCGATTTGCAACATTTACACCCCATAACAGTGTCAGTTTGTGACAGCAATAGATTATGGCCCAAAGTACTTGGATCCCTGACATCCATGTACAAAACCGTGATGAAGTTCCAAGGTCCTGTCTTCATCATGCACCAGCCCAGACTGTTTTGGGTATTTGGGGAGTGAATCATCAAGTGGAAAATCCCTAGCTCTGTCTCTTATCTCTGTGTCACTACCTTTCTAAATAAGAAAATATTTTTAAGTATAAAAATATTACCTGAACATGAACATAGATTTTAAGAAGTAGCACAGTCAGATTTAAAAAAAAAAAAAAAAAAGAGCAATGAAGATTGCCTTCAAGACCTCTGGGGCACCATTGAGTGAAATAATATTTGAGATTTTGGATCCCCTAAAGAAGAGAGGAGTAAAATCGTGGTAAAACTGTTCAGCATAACATAAGGATATCATAGGTGAAAATATTTTAACACTGAAAAAAGATATGCTGTCTGTGGATAAGACCCATCCAACTCCAGATACCAATAATCAGAAAAGATCCTTATTACAGTGCAATTATAATTGAACTGTCAAAGGTATCACATGAAGAGAGAATTGTAAAATCTGTAATTGAAAATGGCAAGTCACATTCAAGAGAAAACTCATTAAGCCAACACAATATTTTTGAATAGAAAACTTATAGACCAGGAGGGAATAGAATGATAATTTCTAAGTTCTGAATGGGAAAGTGCTTACCAAGAATGTTGTGCCTGGCAAAGCTATCATTTATAAATGAAGGGGAATGGGGAAATAAAGACTTTTTCTAAGACAAACACAAGCAGGAAGTTTATTACCACCAGAATACCAGTCAGTTGCTCATCATCACAATTAAATACCTAAGCGAACCTAACTTTCAAAGGAAAAAGGTTATTTTTGCTATCATATGGAGATTCACAGTCCAGTTGTGGCCACCCATTGATGTGTTGTCTGATGAGTGTTAGATTTACCAACCAGCCATGAAAGAAAAAACAACGGCCAGATACAAACAGGCCTTTATTAAGCAAAGAGAAGTCCATTCCTGGGCCTTTCCCTGCACAGCAGAGGAACAAACAGGAGAGAAGAAGACCACAAGTGGGAAAGACAAGCTGGATAGTGAAGACAAAGGTTTTATACCCCTTCTGATGTGGGTGCTGGCATCAGTACTCATAGGGCAAGGAATGTGGGCCTGTGTCCCATCATTGGCTCGTATGTGGCCTTGACTGCCTTCAGAGCATGACAGATCCTCTGGCTGAGGTCACTGTGGTGTCCACCCACTTCTTGCAACCGCATAACCATCATTCTGGCTTCTTGGTAATAGAAAAAGGGGTGACAAAGTCAATCTGGCTACTTCCTGCTGGAGAGGGGCATTGTCCTAAGTGAGGTCTGGAAGTTGCTCCATGAGTACCTGAGTGTAGGTGTTCAGTAACATGTGATTGAAAGTAACTTGTGAGTCTTCCTTTTTTTTTTTTTTTTATGATGATGAATCTTATAAAGCAAGGGGCAATAGTTAGTAGGGACCTGTAATTATCAGTGGAATGAATAGCAGAATCAGCCATGGGGATTCCCAAATATCGAGACCACAGTTGTTACCTGGGTCTAGTAAATTATTGAGTCTGTTACATATTGGTTGTGAGTTTTTTATACCAGTTTTCTTTTTTTTTTTTTTTAAGATTTATTTATTTATTGGAAAGTCAGATATACAGAGAGGAGGAGAGACAGAGAGGAAGGTCTTCCATCCGATGATTCACTCCCCAAGGGAGTGCAACAGCTGATGCTATGCCGATCTGGTGCCAGGATCCAGGAACTTCTTCCGGTCTCCCACACGGTGCAGGGTCCCAGAGCTTTGGGCTGTCCTACTGCTCTCCCAGGCCACAAGCAGGGAGCTGGTTGGGAAGTGGAGCTGCCGGGATTAGAACCGGCACCCACATGGGATCCCAGGGTGTTCAAGGCGAGGACTTTAGCTGCTGGACCACACTGCTGGGCCCATACCAGTTTTCACTGTGCCCAATCTATATAGGTTTCCCCTTTACTTGCGATTGGAATATCCAGTGCTCGACAATTTTGTAAGGCTATTTCTGCCAGTGATGTGATCTGTCATATGTAAGGATCTGTTAGGTTAACATGAGGTACAGCAGGATTATTAGTAGGACTGGAGGCAGGAGAGGCATGTTGGCATTTAAAGATTAGTGTCTTAGGCCCTATCTGTTAAACCCCCCACAGAGATGAGGTAGTGGCTCAGATAGGTTTGAGATGGGAGAGATGGTATTAGGAGAAGTGGCAAGGATCGCTGTTGAGATCCTGTCCACTGTGGCTGAAGTGAGACCGGGTGAAGAGTCTTGAGCAGTGGTGAGCCTCCTGGTTGGAGAGGCAAGGCATCTGAATCCACTGTATAGTATGTGTAGTAAAGGCGGGTCCATTGTCTGTGTGGATAACAGTCAAGAGGCCAAACTCTGAAACAAAGTGTCAACCAGGATGAGTAAATATCTGACAACTTTCTGCCGAATCTGCTGAAGTGATGTCAGCAAAGACTGTGTTCCAAACAGAG